TTTATAAATATAAATATATATAATATATTTTTATAACTATGGGGTATGGAGAGTCAGTATTACCCTTACCCCTTGCTTTCACACCTTTTGCCAGTTCCTCCATTTTTATATTTACATAAACATAAACAACATAAAAGTCTTGTTCTACATCCTACTTTGGTGAGTAGCAACTGAGGTCTTAAAAACTTCCGAGTGGCCATCTAAGATGCAATCATTGGTCTCCTCTCACCTGGAGCAAAGAAGAGTGAAGAAAATCAAAGTCATTTGGAAACAATTAGTCCAAAGATATGATGGACTATGAGGACCACAGCCTTCATGACCCTGTGGTCTCAGGTCTGAAGACTAGACAGTGCCTGGGTACCAATGCCAACAACTCAGAAAGGGATCAAAATTGGAGATCCTGGATAGAGTAGGAGGAAATATGTGGAACAAAATACAAAAATGAGCAGAATTACTGGTTGGATAGAGACTGGTGGAATCCCCGAGGCTATGGCCCTGGGTTATCCTTCTGGCCTGGAAATGGACTCACTTCCATATATTGGCTCTCAGGCCAACAGTAGAAAGACCTATATGCAGAACACCTACCTCAAGGAAAAGCACCCACCTACCCCCAAGTAGGGCCTACCCTAGGGAGATGCCATCCCCTAGATCAATCAGCCATGAGACATTAGAGGGGCAGCATTCATATAGAGGGAAAGCTGGACAGGCAGGAATGCACAGATAAGAAGGACATGGTGGGGGTGGTCACAGGGAGGAGAGGGGAGGAGAATTTTTTATGGTTGGGGATTGTAACAGATTCTGTAACTTAAGAAAAAGGAAAAAGAATTCTGACCAGTCTGTTGGCAAATGCTTCTTGGCAAAAACTTGATGCTCCCATATCTAGACAGCTGTAGGGGATTCCCCTACCGCACCACTAACATTCTGTATTTACCTCCTCCAGGTCACAGCAACAGCCCAGTAGACAGTGTGGCTTGCTCTACCACCTCAGACATCAGGCCCAGTCATTCAGTTCAAGAAGGCGTTCATGGAATAGTTGCAGTTGCTCAGGAAGTTCAGTTCCCAAATCTCACCTTTCCAGTACTAAGAAATCCTTCCAGCAATCTGGAAGAAACTCACCAGGAAGGTAGTGGTGCAAACCTTCCTGACATGGAGAACATGGGAATGGTATACAGTGTGCCCAGTTCTTGCAATGGAACAACAGAATCTACGTTCTCCACTTCCTGGAAAGGAGATGCTTTCACCTACATGATTCCAAGCGCCACCAGCCAGAGCAATCAAGTCAATGAAAATGTAAAGAATCCTTCCTCTGGGAATTCTTGGTTCTCTCTGAACACACTCCCACCTCTGGCTCCTAAGAAGGCTGCTACCCTTTTTATTACTCGTGATAACCCAGCAGGATGCAGTGGATTACCTGGCTACTCTGAGCACCCTACTCAACGAAAGCAGGTACCAGAAAGAGCCAGCAAGATTGGCCTTCTGACCAGTGGTACCTCGAGACTGGAGACAACCCCAGGTGGGGCCAACAAATTCCGGGAACGCTCACTGTCTGTGCCCACAGACTCAGGCATCATAGATGTGGGCTATGGTGAGGGGCAGAAGGCCAATGAAACCTGTGCCCTGCCTCATGCTAGTACAAGTTCTGAGGGAAGCAACAGTGCTGACAACATTGCCTCCCTCAGTGCCGAACAGGAGGCCCAGCACAGAAGGCAGCGGTCCAAGAGTATCTCGCTCAAGAAAGCCAAAAAGAAACCTTCTCCACCAATGCGTAGTGTCTCTCTGGTCAAAGACGAGCCAGTCCTCCTGGCAGAAGTTGGACCAGCATTATCCAAGGATGAGAGGCCCAAAAGCCTTTGCCTGTCTTTGGAACACCAAGGACATCACTTGTCCCATCCAGATGCTCAGGGTCACCCAGCTGTGCCAACCATCAAAGACTCAGAAGGTACACAATTCTCCCACCAGTGGTATCTTACTGAATGGAAGTCTGGTGACACCTACCGATCCTTGTCCAGCTCCAGCACTGCCACTGGCACCACAGTCATTGAGTGCACCCAAGTTCAGGGCAGCTCAGAGTCTCTTGCCTCGCCTTCCACCTCCAGAGCAACTACACCTTCCCAACTCTCCATTGAGGTGGAGGCCAGGGAGATATCCTCCCCAGGAAGACCCACTGGACTAATGTCACCCTCCAGTGGATACTCTAGTCAGTCAGAGACACCAACACCCACTGTCTCCATGTCCTTGACCCTGGGCCACTTTCCTCCTCCAAGCAGCAGTGTCCGGATACGTCCAGTGGTACCTGAGAGGAAGTCATCACTACCCCCAACATCACCAATGGAGAAAAGTCCCAAGTCACGGCTATCATTTGACCTACCATTGACCTCTTCCACCAACCTAGATCTGTCTAGTATGAGCATCTCCATGCAAAGAAAAACTAAGGTGAGCCAGTATCAGTCAGATACAAATTTTGGGGCCAAGCTGGCCCAGAAAACTAGTCCCAACCAGCCAATCATGCCCATGGTTACTCAATCTGACCTACGTTCTGTTCGTCTGAGGTCAGTCAGCAAATCTGAGCCAGAAGATGACACTGAGAGCCCTGATTATGCTGAGGAACCTGGAAGAGAAGGCTTCACCTTGCCAGAAAGAAAGATGAAACCTCCTGTAGCTGAAAAGCCTCTGCTGGCCCACAGGCTTCCAAGCTTGGTTCACAGGCCACCATTGGTCTCCAAGGGATACCCACTAACTTCACCTGCATTGACTATGACCACCAAGAGCTCAATTCAATACATGAGGCCACTCCCCACAGACATCTACACAGTGGTTCGGAAACCAAAGTCCTCCAGCTTCTCTAATGCCAGGAGCCCAGGGGAGTCAGCAGCACACTTACCCCTTGTTTTCACACCTTTTGCTAGTTCCTCTGGTGCTTTCTTCTCAGCAACACAGCTGCCTCCTCAGGGAAGTATGGAGGATGAGAGCCCCAAGGTAAGAGCCCTGCCTGAAAGAATTAGCCTCCAGAGTCAGGAAGAAGCTGAGAAAAAGAAAGGCAAGATTCCACCTCCTGTACCAAAAAAGCCCAGCATGCTGTACCTGCCTCTCACCTCACCCACAGCTCAAATGCAGGTCTATGTGGCAGAACCAAGGCTGCCTCTCAGCCCCATCATCACACTGGAGGAAGATGCCAAGTGTCCCCCCACTGGCGATAAGCTGCAATCACCTGGTAAAAAGATGACTTCAACTCCACAGGCTGACACTGAAAAGGAGGCAAGCCTTCTGGGTTAGTAAATTATCTTTTTCTTCCAATCACAGGAGATATGAGGGTGAGAATGCAGTGCCAAATACAGAATAAAACACCCCCAAAATAATTAATCCTGATCCCAGGATGACCAAGTCAAGGAGGTTAGTCTAAATTCCTTACTGCTCTTAGAATCAGGATTGATCCAGGGACAGATTGCCAAGGTCCAATTTGATCCAATCTACCCTTAAACCCCTAGTGGTTTAATCAAACTAGGCCTTAGGACCCTAGGACTTTAGGATCCCATCTACCTAGCCAGGCATGCATCCCTTGCCCTAGGACCTATTTCTACACTTCAACTGTACAGTACTTTCTTTCTTTTCTTTGTTTCTTCTTCTCCTTCACCCAAGTTAATATGTGTCTACCCTTTGGTTAATGGTTTACCTTCCCTTCCCCTCCCACCTCTGGTAATCATCAAAGAATATTTCTTTTTTTGTGTGAAGCCCTTTTCTTGACTTTTTACAATAGTGGTCTTATGTAATATTGGTCCCTTTGTGATTGACTAATTTCACTTAGCATAATATCCTCTAGGTTCATCTATGTTATGAGATGTTTTGCAGATTCATCATTGTTCTTTAACATTGTGTAGTATTCCATTGTGTGTATGTATCATAGTTTGTTGATCCATTCCTTCATTGGTAGGCATTTAGGTTGTTTCCATCTTTGTGCTCTGTGAATAGTGCTGCGATGAACATGAGTGTGCACATATCTGTTTGTGTCATGGCTTTTATATCTCTAGGACATATACCTAGTAGTAGGATTGCTGGATCATATGGTATTTCTATTTCCAACTTTTTGAGGAAGCACCATACCATTTTCTGTGGTGGTGGCACCATTTAATAGTCCTACTAGCAGTGGTAGGAGCTCTGGTAGCATAGTGGCTAAAGCACTTGACTGCTAACCAGAAGGCTGGCGGTTCAAACCC